TCCTATTCGTCGACTCTCCCTCCCCCCGCCCCCCCCTTCCATCCAAACCCAGCTTCACTGAGGTGCCGAGGGGCGCCGATGCGAGGCGATAATCCGCGCGAGCTTCGCCAGCGCCGCGGCTTCACGTTGAGCCTGCGCCCGCACCAACGACTCCCGCTGTGCCCGAAGTGAAGCAGCCTCTCGCTTGAGCTCTGCCGCCACCATTCCCCGCGCCTGCCCCATCGCCGACTCCCACAGGTCATGCTCCCGCTGCAACTCCGCCTGCTCTGAGGTGGGCGCCCCGCGGCGGACCTCCCCGGCCCCATCCAACCGCAGTCGACTTTCCGCCACGACGGCTTTCTGCCGGAGGACGGGCATCAACCCCGCGGCGGAGCGACGCGCCATCCGCTCGAGGATCCACCCCCGCCGCGCGGGATCCCGCAGCTCCGCCTCTGCGGCCTCCAGACGCCGCTGCCGCTCCTCCAACGAGGGCCCCACAGCCCCTCCCTCCCGCCGCCGCTTGGAGCCTCGAAGAAGGTCATCATACCCCCCCCTTTCCATTGGGGAAATCGCATAGCCCCGGTAGGGGCCTTCCGCGTCCGCGACTCGACGCTGTTGGGCCGCCTTCCGGTCCCGTCGGACCTCCGATTCGTACCTGCGGGCCTCGCTGAGTTTCATGAAATCCCTCGTCGCCTGCATGGCGTGGGGGTTGGGCCGAAGAAAGTAGAGGTCATCCTCGGCCGGCCGGCCCCTGGGCAGGGCAGAGCCCAAGGCCTCCCATCCCCGACCCCAACCGGGTTGGGTGGAGGGCGGGAAGGGTTTGGAAAAGTCAACCGGAGGCTCCACGACGGGCGCCCGCGGCCGAGATAAGGGGGTCGTCCGTCGTGGGGTCGCCCTGGGGAGGGGGGCCCGGGGAGAGGGGGCATTCCCAGGAAGGGCTTGCGGCCGCCGCTGGGGGGGGAGTAAAGGAGGAGGAACCACCGCCGTCCGCGACGGGGTCACCACGGAAATCGGCGCCGGAGGTGTGGAATCCTCCATGCGCTTCTCCTTCAAGGTCGGGTTGGGATTTTGACCCCCGTCGGACCGCCGACGCTTCGCGCATGTGGGGCAAAAAAACGTCAACGGGTGCTCACTCAATCCCAAGCAGTCCAGGTGCACCGCAAACACACAATCGCGACTATCACAGAAAATGATGCGAGAGGCATTTTCATATTGCTGGCATACATCACAGCGGACCATATTAGTCCTGCTGTGAGTGGAAGACGCGCTTGGCGGCATCACTTCGTCGTCGCTCCCAGCTTCGCAGTCTGACAAAAAACGAGCGATATTGCCGTCCGCTCTCTCGAGCTGTAGCTCGAGAGATTCTTCTACTCCTCCTTCGCCTTCTTCTTCTCCCTCCTCATCCTCTTCGAGCCAAGCCTTGTAGTTCCTTTTTCGAACTTTAGTAACCTCCTCGTTACCTGCAGAGGTGACGGTAAGAATACGTGTAAAGCGCGCCTTGCAGGCCGGGCATACATTAGTCATTTTAGCCCATTCTTTTATGCAACACGAGCAAAACTTATGATCGCATGAATTCAGTCGGCCGCGTGGATTTTCAGTGGGATGAATCTCGGTAAAACAGATACCACATAAATTATCATGATTATCATCCAATACGATCGACTGCAACTTAACTGAAGATGCCGCATGGCTTAACGAAGCCTCCAGTTTATTAGTTTCTTGTCCCTCTGACATCTTCTGTGTGAATGGGTTGTGTGTTCGTTTGCACTCATGAAGAAGGAAAAGAAGGAGAAAGAAAAATCAAATATGGATTGTTGGTGTGATATAGCACCAACGAAGGTAGCACACTGGACTAATACGATAAATCGAAAAGAATAAAATAGCGTTACTATCCGTTATGAAGGTCGGTTTATGGATTTTACTGAAGAATCACCAACTTTGCAAAAAAAAAAATAATGTGTTCTGATCTCACTATCTGATCTTCTTTCTGAATTACTTTTCATTCCTCCAGTACGTTGTAGCTCCTTCATTTCCACTATAATGAAAATGTTCTCTGCAGTGTATCAAAATTCTCACGAAGGAGAAAATGCATGTGTAAATTCGAAGAGGCTAAATGGGCATATCGGTAGTAGCCAAGCTTATTGAATTCATATCGAATTGGTAATGTAGCATGCGTTGTTATGTCTTCTCCACTTTGCGACACAGTCCACACCTCTTCTAGTAATTATTTTATTCGTCAAATTTACGCGGAAATTAGCAAACTAAGCAACCAATATTCATAAGTATATGATTCAGGTTGTGAAAAAAAGTGTTGCAATAACCCAAGAATAGATATTTTCTTTTTGAGCAATAATGTGTTGAGGATGTATTAATATCAGAACTCTATGGAATTCTTAATCATTTATAATAAAAACAATTAGGAAATTATATACACAATGAAGAGTGCTGCCATCACAAGATTCCCTTTACGGATTTATTCTTCCTCGCTCCCCCCCCAAACATCGTCTCATGGCATTTTTTTTAGTCATCGTCTGCCAAAAAGGGGTGATCAAATATTTCTGAAATCGTTGGACGGCTTTGGGGGTTTGTTTGGAGCAAGAAAGCAATAAATTCCACCGCTTTAGGATCATACTCGGGTAAACGCGTGGGCAATGGAGCCACACGGTAAATTTTGAAATATTTGGTATTGTACCCGGGCAGCTTAGTGACGCCCGGCCAAGTTTCTTCTGTGGGGGTTCCAACGACATAAAAAATTTTGTTCAGTTGGTCTTTCGAATTTTCACCACAAAAAAGAGAGTTACCAAGGATCATCTCAGCCACAATGCATCCAAGTGACCATACATCGGCCGATGAGCTGTAATGACGCGCGTTAAGAATAATTTCCGGAGCGCGATACCATAGTGTCATCACTTCGTGTGTGTAAGTTTCAACGGACATCTCGAACGTTCGAGATAGCCCGAAATCTGCCAGCTTGACATAATACTCAGTCTTCTCGGTATTGGGGTTCTTTCGCTCAGCGACCAACACGTTTCCAGGTTTTAGGTCTCGATGTATAATGCGGCTGTTATGGCAACTCCACAAGGCATGCAGCATCTGTCGTGTGAAATCCTTTACCATGCTCAAGGGCAGCACTGAACCATTAACCGGTTTTTGTGATGGCAAGGGACGATGACGGCGAATGAAGACGCGCAAGTCCTCCTTGAGCAATTCAAAGACTAAATATACGCGGTGCTTCTCGCATAGTACATTGAGCAGCCGCACCACGTTCGGATGCTTTCTAAGATCGTGTAGTAGGGTGATTTCTCGTATTGCAGTTGGTGGAACTCCTTCACGGAGTCCTTCCAGACGTATTTTTTTAATAGCATATGCAGCCCCTGTTGATATGTCGAGCGCCTTGAATACAATTCCGTAAGTTCCCTCACCTAGTAATTCCACAGGCTCATACCGAGAGCGAAGTGCCTCCCAGTCAACTGCATCCAGAACTTCAGAAAGGCTTTTGGGCTGCGGCATCGACCATGTATATATAAGACAACACTAATAGATTCTGTTGGCTACAAAAATAGGAGATTTTGCCCTTTTTAAAGATAAAAAACAAACTCCAAAAACAAGGTGATGGGAAAATAGATGTCTTATTCATACATTCAGCTGCCACATTGCAAACTACATATCACAGTTTAGTAAGGGTGCCAACCCGCAGGAACAGCAAGTGCAGTTTGCTTTTCATTTCACTCGCATTTTGAGAAAAGTTTTGATTTAACACGCTCCTAACGGCATGATAGGTGTTCCTCCATCCGTGGTTTACATTTCACAAGTTAAACACTCGAACTTCCCGCTGAAAGGCTTAACTTCCATAGTGAATGGACCCGCCATAAGGAAGGAGCACGTAGCTTTCACCGCTGAAAGTAAATCTGGAAGACCTCAAAAGCAACGTGTGCATGTTTCAACGTATACCCCCTTGAGAGAGAAGTGCCCCCGCACCGATACCATGAGTCGGTGAGGCCCTCCATGTGGTGTGCTCGTTACCTCGTTTCAAGGTATCACAATAAGAAAGTCTTTTAAGCCAATAAATTCGTAGTAGTAGACCCAAAGACAAGCGCAAGGATTTGATAAAGCGACGGAAAATTTGATAAGGAATTAGTCAATAATGGAATCACTTTATCCACTTAAAGTTGCTTTTCTTTTTCAAATTACCTCACAGTTTCGCTCTAGGTATTAATGTGAAACAGACGGTATAGGCTTCTTGTCGACAAATCTGATAAGGTAACACAAACCTTCGGTAGTAGGTAACCCGTTGCTGCAGTTTCCCCATTATCACAGGCAGTCAGCTATAATGGTTTTGAGACTTTTCGCTTCATAGAAGACCATGTTTCAGGGTGAGAAGAGTCGATACCGGTGCCTTCGAATCAGGCAAGCGACTTTATTCTGAGTTTTTTTTTTGAACACAGCTCGCCCGCGGAGAAGCATAAGGATTCGCTCCATAAACACTAAATTTTCTATGACGAGCCACGCAACTTCAAGGGGAAATTAGATTTTACCTTGAACAAAAGGCATTCAGAACCCAATTTGACAAGTTCTAATACTGGCTTTCGCCAAACTGGGTCCTCACACTCTAAGCTAGCGCTAAGAATATTTGATTAACCAACAATATGACTCTCTACTCTAGTCAAAGTTATTCATCCCTTCCCAATCACATTGCTCGAGCACCTTTAGAGTCAGCCAATATGCAGCCATTACTTACATGAACAGGTCGCTTGGGTTGTGAAAATCAGTGTGCGTGTTCAGCTGAACGTGTTCTGGAAAACTTTGGAAATTTAGTAGCATACAAAAGTTTCTATACTTCCTAAACTCTCCCACAGGTCTGCTGTAAAGGCTCCAAGTATAGCTGACACTCTTAAAGATCGGCAAGGATATCCCTTTGTGTAGATAGCAAATGATTCAACAAGGTAGCAGAAGACGGGTCGTGCGAGGCGCAATTCCAAAGAATCTCATCCAAAGAGATTATTTCATCCTCAAATATAATCCTGTCACTTGGCAAGAGAATAGACTAAAGTAGTCGAGTAAACTTTAGCATCTAGCTTTCTTGGCAGCACACACAACCCTTCTAATACCCCTTATTTCCTTCAAAGCTACACTTCCCAACGCGATTTGTAAGATTGAAATGAAATCAGAAGATAAAAAGAAGTAGGAGGAAAGAATTTGATGATTCTATTTCACATTGGTGGACTAAAATAGGAATAATTTTACTTTTCGGGATGAATTTTCAAAATTAATAAATTAAGGAGCGTGGGTATAAACATCGGTCTACGTTTTCCTAGAACTCTACCACTACCCGAAAAGATGTGGTAGTGACTACAGTACAAGAATGGGGAATCGTAAATTCAAATGGTAATGAGTACATATGTTGGTTTTTCAGCTCATGGCAATGCATAAAGGAAGAGCTCCCTGGAACTTTGCACTACTCCCTAAGCTTGGATTCTCTACGAATCTTCTATTTATTCCGCATACTTTATCTCGATATATTTGTTTTCCATTTTCTAAAGCCACACAAAATCATGACTTTACTCCCCTTACAATGCTGTAGACGCCGCAACCAGTAATAGAGAGAAAGATTGTACGAAATCCGTATTGCCATAACGCATTCAATATACAAGAAAGTGAAAGAGAACGTTGGGATAAAGTAGGAATAAATTTGAAATGGAGAGGTGCAATCAAGGAACGATGTTTCCTATTTTTGTTTGAACAGCAATCCAAATGAAAGCTAACCCGGTCAAAGCTATTTAGTAGTTAGAGAAAGAGAGACATGGAAAAGGAAGACAAGCGAGGAAGGAATATGGATCCAGAGATACCTTTAGGCCGATTCCTGCGACTGATAGCTACGCTCTAGCTGTTCCATGTTCAAACGCACTACATGGTGAATCAGTTCGTCGACTAAGCTGCGTGCCTTCTCCTTCTTCATTAACTCCTTGTCAACCTCATCCATAAGCCAGGGCATGAAATTTAACTCTACTTCATTGAGAACGCGATCCGCGAACCAGCCCTCATCCTGCAAGCGGGCAATGATACGATTCTCCATGTTGGCCATGTAAGCCTTGGCGAACAGCCGAGCCTGGAGTTTCTCACGGGTTTCCTTCTCACGCTGCAGTCGGTCGATCTCCTGCTGCTTGCGCCGCTCCTTCTCCTCATAGAGGCGCTTCTCGGCGGCCTCGAGCTTCTGCACCTCGAGCAGCTCCTCCTTCCGGCGCTGCTCAAACTCCAGCTGCTGCTGGCGCAGCATCTCTAACTCCTCCTCCTGCATCGTCTCCAGCATCGCCTGCTCCAGCGTCTTCCCGACCATCACCTCGAGGATCGGCTCGATCGCGATGTCGAAGCTGAAGAGGTCCCCCTCATAGATCTGCGTCTCCGTGTCACGGCCGGTCTTCTTTGGCACAAAAAGCGGGGTGGGAGGACGGTCTAGGAGGGGGTCGGTCTGGGTCTCCTGGCACTGCACCTGGACGGGGTCCGTCAGCTCCTCCAAGTAGGGCTCCGTCTGGACGTCGATGTGGTGGTGGCCCTCCAAAGGATCGGGGGTCGCGAGCCGACGACGGGCCGCCTCGAGCTGACGACGCCGCTTAATCGAGGCCACCCGCTGCGTGTGGGCCTTTCGCCGCTGGGCGAGTTCCTCCTCCCGCTGGTGCATCTCTGCGCGCGCGGCGCTGGTCATTACCGGGTTCGCGTAGGTGTTACCCCGGTAAACGCGGCGGTCGTACATGACGTTCCCGTAGGTGTGGCCGGAGGTGCCACCGGGGTCGCGGAAACGCGGGGGGGAGAAGCCGTGCGGGGGCTGCTGGAACGTGTACGCGGCAGACGCCGGCGAGCCGTCGGCGGGGAGGCGTTGATGACAACTCATATCGTGCTGATGGGCTTATACAAGTGGAGATGTGGGGTATGAAGGAGGGGGGAGGGGAGAGGGAGGAAGGGCGAGAGAGGGGGGTCTTCTAAGGGATTAGTATGTCCCTCTAAATATTCTCTACTCCTGAGATCACACGAGCAAGTAAACAGAGAATTACTTACTCGTTTTCTTCGTTTGCGCGTGATGAGGCTTGTTTTTTTTTCACCAGCCTATTATTTTTACAAATCTAAAATATGGCATCAAATAGAAGAGGACAAGACATGGGGAATGAAAACAAAATCATTATGCGAGGCATTCTTCGAATGAACCTGAAGATTTTTTAAATGTAAAATGAATGATAAAAAATCTTATTGGTCCATATTCCATACATGTGTGTTACATAACAAATTATCATAACATGTTGAGACATAAAGCTTCCATAATATGGTAGATACAGAACCATACTAAATATCGACAGATAGCTGGGTACTACCACGCACAAAGGCGCAAATTTAGTATAAATTGTGATGACCATTAGAATAAGAAAATTTACATTTCCGTAAAACGTTTTACAGCATTTTTTACGATATTTTTAGGGATTAAACGGGTAAAATTAAAAAAGTGCTGAATAAGGAAGGGGTAAAGAAGATTATTTAGAAGTAATCCGATAAATGAATACACAACACTAAGATAATCTTCATCTGCACATATAAACATCAAGCTAAAGTGTTCCTTCGTTTTGAATACATCAATAGCAAACAATAACATATAAATATAAATATAGACGTATGTGTGTTTCATTAGCAAAAATAAAGGAAAATCAGTGCCATAAGTAATATACACCTTCATTCCTTTCTTTGACGTTCAGTGTATCGTTAGGGTTCTGTTTAAGAATGGTTCGTTGCTTGTCAGACATAATATGCGTATTAAGAAGCAGGCGTAAATATTAATGCATTAACTCAACTTCATTTGTGCATTCTGAAAACAACTCACCTATACCCAGCCTCTGTAACATACCACAGTGGTTTGTAGTCTGGGTTACTTTTTTGTTGTTGTTGTTTTTTGTCATTGGTTAGACAATGTAGAACGATGTAGCGTAAGGATACGCATCAAGCCCAGAAATTTATCAAAAAGTATAAAGTTTTACAAATACAGTAAGCACGTTAAGCAAACAATCACAATGATTTGTGTAAAGGCAAATCAAAGCCTTCTATTCAGCTTTATGGGATAGATGAAAACAAAAGCAAAAAACACGAATTAAATGCAACAGCGATAAAAAATGTCACAAAAGTTAAATACTCCCTAACCTATACACATAATTATAACTTCATAATACATGACACCACCGGGATTTCACTGTATCTGATATCAACGATTAAAGCAGTAGAAGCATGACGTAATCAGTAGAAATACAAATATGGGAAAAATAATCTTAGGGGAATAAATTACATTGAACATATAGTCATGATGACTTTATGAAGAGCACAGATAAAAAAGAATTCGTCGAACCGCATATTTGCTCTATTGCCGAAAGCGATGCACTGAATAAGTTCGTTGCCGTTCGATTGAGGGTAGTGGACACGTCTGACTGTCATTCCCCGGAGCCGCTCTTAGGGACTGAGGTGCAGGGTAAGTGCCGCTGGACGAGAGTTTAGGAAGAACGGAATGTCGGCCAAGTTTCAGAGGCCTCACGTCGACGCCAGTCGGCACAAACTTGATTGTGATCCACTTGAACGTGAAAAGGGAAAGCAAACAGGGGCAACTGCCCGTTGTAGGCGCGTTGGGTGAGTTCAACAGCACCGCATATCGACCAGCTTCCGGAATCTTGAGCACCATGGAGTGCTCCCTGGCGTTAGTTGGCTCTCCGGAACTGGCAATCTTGAACCCACCCTCCGTGAATGCCGTCATCGAGACACAGTCTTCACCAACAATGTCGCTATTATTCACGGATATCACCTCTGTGATCTTCTCTTGGCGCAGGAGAACGTGCACTTCCCCTGGTGCGCTCACGGTGAAATCAATCCGAAGAGCATCCCCACCGGGAGAAAGAACCACCTGAATGGACGTGGGCGTGCGAGAGAGGCCGGGGAATTTTAGCGGCTGAAGGCTCACCTTTGTGCGGTCCGAGTACACGGAGAGACTGAAACTACTCATTTGGCCTGCATTCATGGTATAGGGAATAAGGTAAGAGATGGAGGTTTGAGGAAGCTCCATTAACATGCACACATCCCGCGTATCCATCATCATGCCCCTCTGCACAAATGAGTGGGTGCTGTTGGTGATGAGCGGAGTTGGGGGCGCGTTGGGGTTCACAGGTTGCAAAAGTGCAACGCTGGCCTCTGAATAGTGTTTGGTGCCCTCAAGGTCGATCCATGAGGGTTCACGCCGACGCAGTTCAACCAACACCATTGCCGGCTGCGTAGCCTTCTTTTCCAGAATGAAAATCGGGTTGTTACGGAAGGAGGATACGGATGGATTACCCCCAGCGGTGTGCCGGTCCCACGCACCCTCTATGGTCATTCGTGTCCCACAGTTAATGTAGCAGTTGCACAGACTGGTGAAGTTTCGAAGAAATACTGGCAATGGCATGCATATAACATTGGTGTCGTTCTGGGGATCATACTTACAGATGCGCCGTAGACTTTGGTTCCAGTTTATGTCCGATGCGTTAAGTGGACCGTTGTACTGCATGCCATAGGTGTGGTAGATGTTGCAGATCTTCACTATGATGTCAGCAGGGTTATCGCTCGTCTTTATCGTTTTAATTACATCTACTAGTGGGTAGTAGCACATCGGGTGAATGCCATCGAGTTCACCAATCTCGGCTTTCGACAAGCACAAGATGATATTTCCACTGGCTAAGTCCTCCATAACGATATGCCAAAAATCGACCGACTCGTAATCACCAATATTGATCACACTAGCTAACTGAGGTTCTAGTGGGGTAAGCACCACAGGGCGCCCAGTAAGGTCCCGTATGGTTTCCTGTGCTGAGCAACTTTTCAAGGCTTCGTAGCCACCGACAAACTTAGCATAGGCTTTCTCCAGAAGGAGCGGATACATCAAATCTTTTGGTGACTGCACGAACAAAGGCACATTATCTTCGTTACACGGTATACGATCATCAACACTTATATAAACAGGATTGCTGTCGTAGTCAAAAAAGGTGAAAGTATAGACCGAATTATTAGGCTGTGTTTGGATTTCGAAGAGACGCAACAACAACGTTGGGTAGCGCGCGAGTGCCGCAATAAAGGGTGCAATATAGCCGGAGCCTTGAGGTGAAGACGACACGTCTGAGGGGCTAAACGTCCTGGGAATCAAGTACGCCTGACGAGCCCCTGGGAATAACTCCCCAATTCGAGGCCACTTCGGGGCGACGTGCTTGTTGGCCTCGTGAAACTCAACATCCTGCCAACCATAGATCTCCAGCGCAAGCTCGTGGACTCGCTTCTGGATGCGCTGCCTTAAGGCATCCGCACGACCTGTATTATCTTTATTCCGCACCAACCAACGAAGCTCCTGCTCCATCTTAAGAAAGAGAGGGTCCGTGTTCAGCGGCAGCTCCGAGAGTGGAATGCCCGAAGGTTCTGGATCCAGGTAGTAGCGTTCTTTTGTAACAAAGTCATTCGCCATCTCATAGATCCGGTCTGACATTTTTCCATATAGTGCGGTAATATCCGCCGGGCTTTCATCACGCTTTTTAGCGTTGTATAGCTCCAGCTCCAGGCTGTGAAACTTTGGATCCGTGCTGAGATCCAGGTCCTCTATGGGGACGCCGTAGGGTGTCTGGTCAAGGCGTTCACGACTCTCATTCAATGCCTTTGATGCGAGTTCCATCGCACGATGATTTAAAGCCTCCTCAACATCATTAACGGCAACTGAACTACCTCTAGGATCCAGGTTCTTGAGCAGGTGGCGACGTGTGCGCTCAAGCTCAAGAATCTGACGATCTTCATCGAGCGGAAGATCTTCAAGCGGGATGCCAAGCGGCGCCGGGTTCATCGTGGAGCGCTCCTGCCTATGTAGCTTAGCGGCTAACTTGTAGGTACGCTTTTTAAGAAGAGCCTCGACATTCTTGATAGCATTCGCATTGGTTGGATCACTTTCCTTTAAGGCACGCCGCTGTTCTTCTAGTTTGCGAAAGTTCTCGTCGTAATTCAGAGGAAGATCGGCGATGGGCACACCAAGCGGCTCGGGATCTAAGAAAGATCGCCCCTTATTCACCAAATCTTTAGCCAATTCGTGCGTTCGAGTCTTCATCTTCTTTTTCAATTTTTCAGCAGCCTCCAACTTTTCAGGGTCATGAGCGCGGCGCAGCTTGCGGTATTGCAATTCCATATTGTGAAACTGTTGGTCTGTAGTTAATGGGAGGTACTTCAGCGGCACCCCTTCAGGCTCCGGGTCCAGGAACTCTCGTTCAGTTTGAAGATAAAGATCCGCGATCGAATTAACCCGCTCTGTGATTGCGTCCTCCAGCTCGTTGAGGGCGGCCTTGTTGGACTTAGGATCCCTGAGGAGAATTCGTCGTTCGTGTTCCATCGGGTTTAGGATCTCATCGTTGTTTAGAGGGAGCTCCTCAAGCTGGACCCCCATCGGCTCCGGGTTCAGAAACATACGCTCCTTCGACAGCAGGGAAAGTGCAATCTTGCGAGCCATCTCATTCAGATCCGCCTCGATGGCGGCGAGCCGCGTTGGATCACAGTTAGGTTGCCACTTCATCATCCGGCGCTCCTTTTCGAGAAGGCAGAATGGGGCGCTCGAGTTCAGCGGGAGATCCGCTAACGGTACGCCCTCCGGCTTTGGATCGAGGAATTCGCGCTCTGACGCGAGAAAGCGATGTGCCAGCTCGTGGACCCGCAGGTTCATCTTTTGCTCGATATTTTTATAGTTCGCGTTAGGGTTCCCCTGGCGCTGGGATTTCATAAGGCGTCGTCGTTCGATGGCGAGCTCTCGGAACACGTGATCCTCCTCGAGTGGTAACTCTTTGAGTGGGATGCCTTCCGGCTCTGGATCCAAAAAGGCGCGGTCCGCGGATATCAGTGCAAGAGCGAGTTCGTGGGCTCGCTCATTCATGCGCTTCCGTGTCTCCGCATCAACATTATCCCTCGGAGACTCCAGACGTTGGTTTCGGTAGTTTAAGATCTCGGCACTCTTGAACTCAGGGTCCCCGTCCAGGCAAAGTTCTGACAAAGGAATGCCTTCCGGTTCTTGATTCATGAATACACGCCGCTTCGCGAACTCGGCGGCCGCCAAAGCGTGAGAACGTTGATTCATCTCGATCTGAAGCTCCCTCAGCGCTTCCCTGTTTTGAGATGTCAAACGTGAATCAGTTGAGCGGCGGCGGTACTCTGCCTCTAGGCGCAAGAAAACGGGATCGTTATCGAGGGGCACATCGTCGAGCATCATACCCTCCGGCTCGCGGTCCAAAAAGGCAAGCTCTTTCACGATGATGTCGTCTGCGATATCCGACGCGCATTTATCCATCATCTTCTCGATAGATGCCACCTCAGACGTGTTCATATTGACTTTTCCCCATAGGAACTTGCGACGGCGACACGCTAGAGAACGAAACTCCGGGTCTTCGGGCAAATGAAGTTCTTTCTTGGGGATCCCACGGTAGGAATCCTTCAAGCAACTCAGGTCTTGCTCAAGAACCTGGGCAGCCAACTCCCGCACACAGGCCTTCATTCGCTCCTCATCTGAAGGAAGCAGATCGGTCTTCTTCGCCCGTCGATGTGCGCGGTACTGTCGCTCCAATTTTATATACGCCTCGCACTCATCCAAAGGAAGATCCTCGGTTGGGATAGAAAAGAAATCCTTTGGCAAAAATGCCCGATCCGCATGGATAAGCTTTCTGGCTAAAACATGGGCCCGTTCGTTCAGCTTATGTTCTAGGCCATGAATCTCCTCCTGGTTTTTGTAAGGGTCCTCAGCTAATAAAATCGCGTGCCGCAGCTCCATGGCCGTATACTCCTCATCCTTGTCGAGGTCAAGATCCTCAATTTCAACCTTGAGATCAAACAGGTCGAGATATTTCGCACGCTGGCCTACGACCATCTCCTCACCCAACTGGTCGGCACGCTTCTGAAGAGCATCCTGAAGTGGTATTACTGAATTAGAGGAATTGGAGCTCTTCAAAAGCTGCCTCAATTCCTTTTCCGTGGCGACGAATATTTTATCAGAATCCAAGGGCAGTAGCTCCCACGGCATGCCAAATGAGGTTGGACGGAGGAAGCTGCGATTTCTATGCTTAACGCCCTTTGCGAGCTCACACGCGCGACTCATTAATTTTTCCTCCAAATCCATTAGTTGCCCCTGCCTTGAATTCGTTACATCGCGATTGGCATCTCGGTCGGAAAGCAACAAGCGTAAGCGCTTGATCTCAAGTTCTCGGAATTGGGGATCATCATCCAAAGGAATTTCACTTACAGGAACACCCTCAACAGTTGCTTTCAAAAAGCTGCGATTTCTTTCAATTAACTCCTTCGCCATTTCATGGACCCGATTATTCATGAGAGTCTTTCGTTCCTTCAGAACTCCTTCGTTACCAATGTTCTTTGACCTGCCTCCCTTTGCACTTTGGCGCGTCTTTAACGACTGAAGGGCTCGGGCGTTTTTCTCTGCCTCTCGGAAGACTGAGTCGCCATCAAGGTCAAGCAGCTCAATCGGAATACCCTCTGGAGTACGATCTAGGAAGGCGCGATCCTCGATAATCTGTTGTTTGGCTATTTGTTTCAACAATTTGTTAAGTTTTTCGTGAATGTGGCTAACCGTTCGCGTATCATTCTGCTGTTTCGCATTGCGCAGATCCGGCATCAAAGACGCAACCGATCCGTGATGATGAGGATGAAGGTATTCAATGGGATAACCTTCTGGCTCCTTATCCAATCCCTCCAAGTCATCCTGCATTTGCTTTCTTGCGAGTTCCGCGGCCCGATAGTTAAGACTCTTCTCCAGAACACTTATCATGTCAGCATCAATTAGCGCATCCCGCATCTTTAGCTTTGCCCGCTTTACCTCCATTTGGTGAAACCTAACATCGGTATCTAAGGGAAGAATCTCAAGTGGTACTCCCTCCGGACATGGATCCAGGTACCCACGGTCCTTGGCTAGATACTCGAGTGATAGCTTGTAGGCTCGCTCATTCAGCCGCCTCTCCAGCTCCTCGATCTTGGGGGCGTTCCCTATCGGATCGCGCGCCTTCAGCACCGCCCGCTCCACCTCCATCTCCCGAAACGCGTCGTCGGTATCAAGCGGAAGCTCATGAAGAGGAATGTCGCCCGGCTCGGGCGACAAATACGCGCGATCTCCTCTCACCAGACGGGTCGCTAGGCGCTCTGTGAGCTCGTTAAGAGAGCGCAAGATGGGAGCCACCAACTCCTGCTTCCGCAATTTTCCCATCTTTTCCTTCTCCTCAACCATATTGGAAAAGTTGGGATCCCGGTGCGGATCAAGCAACTTCAACGGGATGCCATGCGGATTGGGATTCAGTCCTTCGTAATCCTTCAATTTGAGATCGCGAGCCATTTCTTCAGCGCGTTCCAAAAGTGCATCGTCAAGTTCGGCAATTCGCTTCATATTGGGTTTCGGGTCGGTTAGATGAAGGATAGTGCGCTGCAACTCCAATTGTTTGAACGTTGGATCCCGGTCCAAGTCAAGTCGGCGGATGGGAATATCTTCGACAGTCTCAGGAAGATAATTACGACCATTTTTTAGAATGGAACGCGCGATTTCGGATGCTAAATTGTTCATATTCGCCAAGAGGGCACTTATCTCTTCAGGCTCCGAATCATCCGAGGCTCTTAGCTGTCGTAATCTTCTTACCATCTCCGCAAACTGGGAGTTGTCGTGTGGATTAAGG